CACACAGTGAAAGAAGCTGAAAAATTACATGTTTACTTTTTTGTGTGTTGTTATTGTGTATTATTAGGTGCAGTATATAATTAAAGAATTATTTAGTGTAGTAGTACAATTAATATAAAGAAGTAAGCTTAAATTTTGTTGGCAACCATCAGCAAAAAAACAAGATGTCAAGGGTCAGTACTATATTTCTTGTTTTTCATATGCATTCTGTATTTATGATTATAAAAGTAACTAAAATGTAAAAATTTGAAACTTGTTTGATTAGGTAATGTATAGAAAAATAATAAAAATGAAAATTACTCATGAGGTGTGCTTGTGTATTAAATAATTTGATATGGTAGTGTGAGCTACATGTTTGCCAAGTGATTTACAACTTTTATGGCAGGATTAATAGTTATACATAGCTCAGAGGGCAATAAAATGGTCAAATTTATGCATAAACGAAGGTATAGTATTACTTAGGATAAACAACTGTAGTTTCCTGTCACAATCTGCAGTCATTCAAGACAGAAAAAGGTAATTTATATTTATTTTGTATTTTACTATGGTGGTTACGAGGTCAGTCAAATTGACAGAATGTGTATAGGTTATGGCAGAGTAAATAAAAGATAAAATATTAAGTTTCACTGAAAAAAACATTTGAAATTTATTTGGGAGGTTTTAGAAAGGTTTGATGTTTGTTTAGGAAGTTTTAGAGATTACGCATATAAAATTTGACAATTTTCAGATGAAGTATTTTTAATCTAAACATGAAAATCACTTTGCACTTGGGGCAGTCAACACTTTTACTCCATATATTCACAGAGATATTTTTAGTAAAAAATACTTAATTATAAAATCTGCTTATTTGTGTCCAAAAGCTAAGTAATATTTTCTGAAACTTGCAGAATTTTTCGAAGAAGGTACACAAGACATTAAAAGTTATAGTATGAAACTGATGGGTACTTTGGCATCAAAAACTCTGTCAAATTGACCATGCCTATAGCAAGAGAATTAATAATTGTTAATTGGAATAACATGCCATTATAAATACTTTATATTACAGAAGAAATAATTAATATATTTAGTTATTTTCAATTTTGTATGAAAATAAAATTTTAAATTCCTTTAATATTTTCATCTCTATATATTGTCATTCCATGGACAGTATGAATATTTAATTGGATTATGTTTTTTTTCAATGTACATCATAGAATTAAATTGATTTTTTACAAGAATATCAGCTGTTGTATATTTTTTATTAGTTTCAATAAATCCTTATGATTCTTATCCATTTGATAAAACTAGGGACCTAAGTCGAACCTCTCTTTCTGGGCTGGACTATTCCAGTTATAGCCAGCTGCATGAGTTTGATGCTTCATACACAAGTAAATATGCAGAATCATCTAGAGTACAGGAAACATGTAAGTTCATTTATCTGTATGTCTAATGAATGAATGACAGTTTGAGATTTATTTTAATGAAATAAAAGGAATAATGCTACTTAGTTATTCAAAAGTTGGAAATATGATTTGAGGAGTAGTCTTTCAACAAACTTGTCCCTGATTTACTGAACAGAATAACACACAAAAATTTTACACATTTTAATATTTAATTTTGTATTTCTCAAGTTGAAATTGTTTTATCTATACATTACTGTATTATAAACATATAGTTCATACATGTGCACAATTTAAAAGTTTACCTAGTAATTTTTACAACTGTAGTTTTACAAAGTTGTTCTGTACCATTTTGTTCACTTGTTATTGTGAGAATTTTCTAACAAGAAGAGGTTTAAAAAAAGCCATTTTTATTAACCAATGATTGTTTGTAATAAAATCTAAAACCTGTGTGTAAGAATTAATTGTAGTTCATACATTTCAGCTCATATAACACTCTTCAGTGTGAATACCAAAATATAGTAGTAACTGTAAATTAATTTTTCTAACTTTTCAAGAGATAAACTCGTTTTTTAAGTTTTGACTTTATTTTGCAAAAACCTCTTTCATTTTTCTTGACGTTGTTACAGGTTCTAAGATAAGTAACATTTTAGCTGTACCCCATCATTAAGTTGGATACACTGATTAAGGATTTTGAAATAACTTTCAAATTCCATTGTTTTGCTGTAAAATTCCTAAGATCAGATAAATATAAGATTTTTCAAAACTTTGCTTTGATGTTTTTTTTTTTAGATATATTAATGGCAGCCTATCAAGAAACTTTTTCCATTTGGTTATTCAGCATTGGGTAACTTATCAAGTTCAAATGGAAAGAGAAATTTATGCTTTACTATCATTTGGATACTTTCTCTAATAGTTCTATTAGCCAGCAGTTACCCCACCTCAAAATGGTGTATTTAAGTGTTTTACAGAGTTGTTTAAATATTTGTTGAACAACAAGTAAAAGCTTGGAAATGTTTAAACAACTCTATTCAATTATATATCAGTTGCCTAGTGTTGGCTAACAGTATGAAGAATTAAATTGTGGCAGAATGCTACAAGTTCTTCAAATACCTATAGAATGATAGGTTTCTTTTTTGTAAGTGTAAAACACTTAAATACACCATTTCGACTTTCAATACCTCACTACTATAAAGGCTTGGTTTGGTCTGAAGTTTGATTGGTGGGCAAGTCCAGGGTCACTGATGAGGAGTGGAATTCTCCAAAACTAGTCTGGCTCACAGACACACCCCCAATGAAAGAATAGACC